GCCTATTGTGGTTTTAAGAAAACCTAATGGTGATTTTAGAATTTGCAGAGATTACAAAGTAGGCATACATGATAAGATTTGTTTAGATTCCTAATCCTATTCCAAACATAGAAAACATACTACATTCTCTAGCAGGAATGAAAAATTGAAAATTGATTTAAAAAAATGTGTACCACCAAATTCAAATAGATGACAAATTTAAGGAAATTGCAACAATAAACTTTCCCATAGGCTTACTTAGATGGTCCCACTTACCATTTGGAATTAAGACAGCCAGCTTAATTTTTAAAAAACTATGGAAAATTTGTTAGCGGGTAGAGTAGAAAATATGATAATTTATCAGGATGATATATGTTTAGATGCGGCCACTGAAGAAAAACTGAAACAAGAAAATGAATTTGTAATGGGTAAGTTGAGGAAGGCAGGAATGGTGATAAATGAAGATAAGTGTATATTTAATTGCAAAGAATTAACATTCTTGGGTTACCAAATTTCAGAAAAACGTACCTCGCTGGACCTGAAGTTAATACAAAAATATTAAATGTATCTTCTCCAATTAATAAAAAAAATTGGAACCATTTCTTGGATTAGCCAATTTTTATAGTAAATTCTTGTCAAAATATTCTGAAAGAATTGAAGTATTTTCTGAGTTGAAAGAAGAATAAGGAGTTTAAATGGACACACCAAACAGCCATCATAAAATTAAAAGAAGCTCTGTCTAAAAAACCTATACTCAAGATTTTTTACCCTAAAAAGGAGGTTACATTAACCACAGATGTGAGCAGCCAGTCTGAATTGGAAATTTTGTCCTAGGAAGGATACCCAGTGATGTATCTTTCCAGGACATTGACACCAGCTGAATTGAAATACTGTAATATTGAAAAGAAGCACTTGCAATTGCATGGAGTATGACCTGAGCAAGACAATTTTTATTAAGAAAAAAGCCCTTAGAATTTATATTCTATTGTAGGAAGGAATTCCAGAATATTAAGATGGCTTTTGATTATGATATAGAATATGTGAAGGGAAACAATGAGGAGCCTGTCTTACTCTATTAATGAAAACATGGTACAAAAGAAAAAGAAAACGAGTCAGAAAAAGGTGAATTTCATAATGCAAAAAGGATACAATATATGCAATAATGGTAAAAATATTGTTGACCATCCAGGCCAGTTAAGAGCTAGTCAAAATTACAAGGAAGTACAAGATGAACAAGAAAGCAGGGTAGAGGAATCAATGGATGATCAAAGTTCTTCAAAAGATACGGAGTACAAAACATTGAACACTGAGAATAAAAGAACTAGATCAAGGTCCCCTATAATGAGAAATACTCATGAAACCAGTGAGAGAGGAATGGAATGTAGGAGAAGCCATAGATTCATGTAGGGTATGAAACCCAAAAGATTCAGGGAGAAGTAATGGGATGAGTTTAGCTAATAGATAATTAAGAGAGATATAAGTATAGCTCATGAGGAACTTTGAGTCAGTGTATGTAGAACATCTATGGTTACTAAATTTGATCATCATAACACTCCTTGTAACAATAAAGATGAATTGAAGGCAAGGATTATGGTATCATTCACCAACTTAAACAAAGACACTGTCCAGAAGAGTTGCAGGAATTCCAAAATCATCTGGAGGCTGTGTTTGAAGCCAATAGTGATTTTATTGAATAAATTTAGTCTTTAATATTTCAAGATATTTTGTGTAATTTTGGCAAAATATCTGTTAAAATGCGATGTCAGTGTTATTTTAATTTTTGCATAATTTAGAGAACAATTTATCCAGTACAACCTCTGTGTGTGTGTATATATATATATATATATATATATATATATATATATATGAATAAAGACAAAAGGAAACCTTATCTTAGCTGACATATTTTGGTGCATTTGACTTGAGGATGAAACACATTAGCTAAGTTTTCCTTTTGTCATTATTCATATTATCTTTTTACAGAATATATGTATATATTTGTGTGTGTGTGTGTGTGTGGAGTGAAGATGGAAATAAACATCAAACAGTCAAACACCAAATGACAAAAATAACACATAAAAAATTCTTCATTATCATTTTGAAGGGTATTTAAGCAAAGTTTCTAGATGGACAAACTGGTAAGGAGAGACAGACAGCAACAGAAAGAAATTTCCTTACTCATTCACATGTCTTCCTCAGCAAGCTACATGACACTTACATTTTCCTCCTCACTTTCTCCATTGCCTCTTCTTTCTCACCCATACATGTGAAGAAATCACATTTCTTTCATCTTAACAAACAATTCCTGCAAGAACTTTAACCCTCAAAACACTAATAAAAATTTACTTGTAAAAAACATGAAAATAAAAATACCTTATATTTTTATATTTAAGCATTTTTTCCACCTTTGTTTTTGTAGGTTGATTAGAATGTGCAATATATATATATATATATATATATATATATATATATATATATGTATGTTATATAAAAGAGAAAGAAAATGAGAAAAAGAAAAAAAAGAAGAAATATGAGCAGGTAAATTAGGTTAAAATTATACTTTCCTTTTCTATTTTATAAAATCAAAATTTATGTGTATTCCCCTCAACCCAAGTCAGAACTTTGGAAAATTGAGATTATACAGTGACTTATCATTGGGTGTCAATAATAATAGAAAGTTTTGGTGACCAAATTGTGATTAGGCAAGCATGTACCTAATAAGTATGAGTGAACACATACACAGTGACTTGATTGGATGGAGCATACACAGAGTGAATTGATTGGCTGGTGCACATGTAGAGTGATTTGATTGGATGGTGTAGCACAGCACAACTGTTATATTAAGCATTTCTTTTTTCAGTGTTGAAATTGAAGACAAGGCCTGCTATTTTCAGAAGCAGATTGGGTTACTGGTGGAGCCAGTATGATGCTTGCAGTCAAACCAGAGTACATTACTATGATGTATTTCTCAAATCAATAAATATATATATATATATATATATATATATATATATGTATATATATGTATGTATGTATATATATTTGAAAGAATATAGTTTTAAGGTATGTTATATTTATGGGTTAAAGTGCTCAGTATCAGGCATAGCATGTATGTAAATATAAACGTAAACATTGAAGTCAACACCTTTTTTCCCTAAAATACCAAACCAGTGCATAAATAAATATATTTAAACATAAAACAACAATGATATGGTAATTCACCACCAATGGTTGATCGTTGTGATCATAATGATGATATACATTGGCTATTTCAACTTGGCTCACTCTGCTAGATAATCCTGAAGATGAAAGTCACAAAATAGCTAAATTGCTTGTTATTTTTTAGTTCTTTAATTCATTCCCATAGCGGTCAATAATCTTCATTATACTTACCACTTTTTAAAATTTGCATAGAAGTTCTTCAGGACAGTGTGGCTTCAATTTCCATATTTTTCTTTTAGAAATTTTATATATATGTAATGTTTGTTTCTGTTTTGTAAACGAGTTCTATCATATATTTGACTTTGTTTAGTTTACCAACAAGATCATGTAAAATAGTTTTGCAGGGATATATTACCTGACCATGTCGATAAACTAAAGAAAGTTGAACATATAAAATTCACTTATGAGACAGAAATAAACCATACTTTACCTTTTTTAGATATGATACACCATAATGAGAATGACTTAAAACTAAGTGTCCATTGCAAATCAATGTGCCAACACAGAGAGAGATGGAGACAAACACACACACACACACATATATATATATATATATATATTTAAATAAAAAGAAAGAACAGTAAGATATGTAATCTGGTGTTCTTATTGATATTTTTATTTTTTACAAAATAGTGCTCAATGTAAATTTACAGAGTATTAATATTATAAATTAAATGATTTAAATTTACAGAGCATTAATATTATAAATTAACTGATTTAAAATAAAGACCATATTTTAAATCAGTTAATTTTTATATTATATATATATATATATATATATATATATATTTGGTTGGATAGATGTGAGTTTGTGACCCTGGGTTTCATGCTTTAGCCTAATAAGTACCGCGCATATAATATATATATATATATATATATATATATATATATGAAAAGTATGTGTGTATATATATATATATGTATGTATGTATGTATGTTCTGAGATGAAGGACATAAACATCAAAATATTAACAAAACAACCAATAGTTTATAAATTGAATCTTGTTTGTTGAGAAGCATATTTTCAAAGGTATCTTTATCCATATTCTTAAAGTATTTAGTAAACATATTTATGAGCCATCAGGGATTCTAGAAAAGTTCATAAAAAAGAAACAAAATAAATAGGTCTGATGCTCAGAAAGTTGGCTCACTGTGTCACACTAGATAAATTTTCTCACCAGAATCTATCTTGCCTATTTGTAAGTTGACCATTTGTCCATGCATTGAATATTGCTGTCACATCTGGTCTGGTACTCATGCTGTGCATTGAGAGATTCTTGATAAAATCCAAAGAAGATTCTGCAATTTTATTTGTCTTGACCTAGCATCTTGGCTTCTCTTTTCCACCACCATAATGTAACTTCCCTGTGCCTTTTCTATATAAATTTTCGTGGTAATTGTTCTGATGAGCTTTCCTTTTTCGTACCTAGAATTTATGAATTTAAGTGCAGTACTAGATTGGCAGATAGGTCCCATTATTTTAAAGTTGAAATTGCAAGACACAACCGTAAGTTTTATCCTAAGAGTTCCTTCTCTCACACTTCTCACTTGCGGAACTCTCTGCCAGATTCTTGCCTTCCAGTCAAGTTTGATCTTCAAAAATTTAAATGAAATGTCAATCGTTATCTTCTATCTTCATATCCCCTGTTCTTTTATTGTTCTCTCCTAAATAATATTTTTTCTTTTTCTCATATTTTTTCACACTCATTAACCTCTTGCTTCTTAGTGGGTTTATTGTCTTGCTTGGGGGTGAAATAATTAAGGAAAAAATAATGAATAAAGGATTTCTTTTATCTTACCTCTCTACTTTCACTGCAAAGCTTACATAGCCAAAGTGGGGTCTTCTGGCTATTACAGGTATCCACACCACATTTTGTACAAACAGCCTGTCAAAAAAAAAAAAAAAGAAAATACACAGATATATTAGGTATTTAGGTTTTTGGGGAGCCAATTTCAATGATGAATATATATCATTGTAATGTGGAATTTTAGAAAAATTTGAGGTACACCAACATGCATTAGTTTTTGTACAGCAGTGGTAGCATCCTCTTCTATGTGCTATATCTTTTAAAGATGTAGATGATCATGGCTCTCCACAACTTCCTATCCTTGGTAGACCCTGGCAACATTCACCCTTTGCCAAAATGTGCACCTCCCATTCCACCATCGAGATAGCTGGCCCATTTCCTTCCCTTGTAGCTTTTTCCTTTGATATGTTCTTTGAGTGTCAAATTTTCCAAGTCCTCTTTCCTCATTATGTATCCAATAAATTTCAGCTGTCTCTTTCTGATTCTGAGCATGTGTCCTTTTTATTTTCATTTTCCTTTGCTTAAAGGCACTGTCCATGGTTTTCTCAGCAGCCTTCTGTGGAACCATATTTCTGTTGCCATCAGTTTTCTCTTCATCTAGTATTCACTGTCATAAAGACTGTTTGATAGTGGATTAAAACAAAAATGTTGTTCTCCTCCATTACACCACAAAACTGCATAAGGCAAGACTAACAATTTGGTAGAATGGTTAGTTTGTTCTACTGCACCTGTCGTATTCACCTGACCAAGTGATTATTACCTTTCTTAATTGCTGCAAACATTTTTGAATGGGGAAAACTTACACTAATAAAAACCAAAGTTCATCAAAAAGCTTTACTGCATAAAAAAAAACTATGACATTTTAATTGAATCAAAGTAGCAACAAGCCATTATAAATAATGAAAGTTTCTCACAGGAGGATATAAAAAGAAGCAGAAACCCTTTCTTCATCTTTTTTCACTCTCCAGAAATTGGCATCTTTTTCATTGGTTCACCTCTGTAGAAAGATGTTGTTAACATCTCCCAAAATGCAGCCTTTGCAACCAGAACATATTTTGTAGCCCTGAAAGAAAACTCCTGCAATTGTACATTTCAGGTACACACATTTCATACACCAACTACACTTGTATATTTCTTTCTTATTACTTGTTATAAATTGTTTCCTGCATATCTCACAGTAAATGTTTCATCTTATTTGCTGGTTGTATTCAGTCTTGCATGATTCGACTTTCTCTTTCTTTCTCTTCAAATTTGTTTTTCATGGCTACTAGGACTAATGGTAGTGGCACATAGTAACATCACAGAAGCATGAACATATCTTTGTTTGAATGTAGTTTCTACTTTAAGATTAAGAACAGTGGGTTAATAGCAGGGCAAACTAAGCTCTCTAGCTTTGGTTGACATTCTTAAAGGTAGACAACTCTGAATTCAAAATCACTTGTGTATGCGGCTAGCAATTCAATCCTGTAAAAGCCTACTTCAGAAACATCCAGTGTAGTAAAGCCTTAGCTAAGAAAATATACACAACAAATGTTAACAGGAAATTAAAAAAAAGACACATTTCCATACAATCTGTTCTTTATTTGATCACAAAGGATAAATGTATACCATAATTTGAGAAAACAAATTTGAAATAGTCCATAATTATTTTCAAAAGTTGTAACCAAAGTGCAAAATTTACAACCCAAAAATAACACCTGAATAAAGCCAATGAAAAAAAAAAAATTAAATTTAATCCCAAGACATAACATAATGACAGGTGCAATGTAATATCAACACCTTGTTGATATGTTGAAAAGTATAATGCAAGATGGATTTCTATTCAAAGGTGTTATAAAGATTGTGTGAGGGTGTGAAGAAAAAACCCAACCCAAAATAAGAAGTGACAATGACTGGATTCTTCAGCATGACAAAACATTTGCCAACACAGTCTTGAATATTCAGCTGCTTTTGACACAAAACAACATGACAATTGTCTCCATACACCATATTTATTTGACCTTGTTCCATGCAATATTTTTGTGCATATGAAATGTAGGAATGAAAGGAAAATCTTATGCTGAGGTTGATAATGTGAAACAAAAACATTGGAGGCCTTGGAAAAAAAAACACACTGAAGTATTGCATAAAATGATTTTAGCAATGGAAAACATACTGAAATTTGTGCATTGAGTTAAGTTATATATATATATATATATATATATATATATATATATATATATATATACACACAAACTATTTGCTTTGATAAATAGGTGTTTTTTATGGCCACAATTTTCACAAGTTTCAGGCATGTCTTAAGACACAATTGGCAGGTGGTTGACACAGTATATACCCACTAAGATGAACATAAAACAAAATGTAAGATCTCTGTCATCCAACAATGAGTGCTCTCAATTATATCTGTTTTTTGCCCTTTACTGTATGAATTATATATATATATATATATATATATATATATATATATATATATATATATATATTGAGAGAGAGGAACATTGTGGATATGAAGGTCACGAAAGAGCCATTACTATTTCAGCAATGTAACTCAGGGATTAAAAGCAATGGGGTAATAGCAGGGCAAACTAGGCTCTCTAGCTTTGATTGCAAGCCTAAAAATGGAAAACTCTGAATACAAAATCAGTTGGATATGGGGCTAGCAATTCAATCCTGTAAAAAGCTACTTGATATCAAAAGCACAGCAGCAACACCAAGTCTAGTAAGGCTATTGCCTTATGCTTTTCAGAGGAGTCTACTGTATATATATATATATATATATATATATATATATATATATATATATATATATATCTCCCATTATCTTTGACATATTAGGGTCCAATGGCTTAGCAACAAAAAGCCTGACTACATATGACTTGATTAGAGTGGTGAAAGCTTGTGCAGAAACAACCACACTTTTTGGAAGAACTGCTGAATATAGAGTGCCACAATGTTTTCAAATGACCCCCCCCACTATTGTTTTTGAATTCCATGCAGTTGCATTTTAGTGCAAGAAAGGCCCCTGCCTCATCTGGATGGAGGCTAAATCTGCTTCTTTCAACCAGCTCCCATGGCACCATTTCCCTTTGGAAATATATCTTTCCCAGATATAGAAAGAAACTATATACGGCAGAATATGTCCTCACTAGGGATATAGCAGATAAATGCAGCCCACTTGACTCTAGAAACTTAAATATGGCTTCTTCAGAAACAAAGAATAATCTCCAGACCTGTCAAAAGGCCAAATGAACTTCTTACAGGAGTCAGTGGCCTAGGATGGTGTTTCAAGCCTTGAATAGCAACCTTCCTGAACATAGTGTCTCAATAAAAACACTTGGTGTACTTGAACTACAGTGAGTCTCTGAATTGGCTGCCAGGAATATCATCTGGCCTCGTAAAACCATGCCTCAAATCATTATAACAAATTCTTTATCGGGCAGAACCCACCTTGCTCTGTGCTAGACTAATCTTGGTTGTGCCTCAACAAAAAAAAAAAAATGTTTATATATATATATATATATATATATATATATATAAAATATAATTATTTTATTCATTTATATTTTTCATTTATTTATTTGTTTTGGATAGTTTTTTTTTTTTACTACTAAGATTTGGTATTTAGTTTGTTTTTTTTTTATTTTAAATACACTTTATCAGTTATAGGATTTTATATGTGTTTTGGGTCATGATATGGTTGTAAGTAACATAGAAGGAATTTGTTTTTGTCTGCATTTTTTAATCAGTTGCACTCCATGAAAGGCAGTAAAGCCACTGAGATACAAGGGAATACTGGGTGTGAAAGAATTAGGAAAAGAAAAATTAATAATGAGCGGGAAGAGAAAAGAGTAATTCGATGGATTGTAGATAGCAATTGATATTGCATTTAATTTTTTGCAGATTAAAGTTGGCTGCAAAGCATGGAAAGTGAGAAATGCAAGAAAAGAAACTGTTAGCTTGGTATTTATGGTTACATCTACCCAGCTCAACTGTAAATGGATGAGGTCTTGATGCCAGTCTAATACATATAGCAGGAATAAATATAGCAAATATTAAACAATATATGTGTGTATGTCAGTGATATAAAATGATGTTCCTTGTTACACGTTGCATACACACACACACACACACACACACACACATATATACAATATATATATATAAACATATATATATTGTGTATTTGGGCAGCAATCCCTCTTTTATACAAGTTTCATTAAAAATGACTGACAAGGTACTGTGGTTAAGGTTTTATTTAATTTTTCTTGTTTTCTTATAATTTTCTTCTTTTCTGGACATAAATGATGCAGAAATTATCAAAATTTTTAGTATGTTTGAGCACTTTTGGCTATACTTTTAGCCATTATTTTTACTTCTTAATATGGATTGTTTTACATATGTATCTAGAGTTATAGGAATGTTTTATTTTCCAAACATGGTCAGCACATTGTTGATGTTATTGAGTGTTGAATTTTTTCTTTTGTATTTTTAATTTTTCTTTTTTATTAATAATGCATCCATTAAAAGTAAAAATAAAATCATCCTTAATAACAGCTAAAATCATAGCTGAAAGTGCTTGGACATACAGAACATTCGGACAATTTCTACATAATTTATGTCCAGAAAAGAAGAAAATTCTAAGAACACAAGAAAAATTGTATAAAAAACTTAACAGCAGTACCTTGCCAGCCGTTTTTAATGATATATATATATATATATATATATATATCAGACATTTGTATGTTGCTTCTTTTCAATAGATATCAATCATTACAAAGCAGAACCATTTGTATGAGTTGGAGTGCAAGTGTAAATCTATATCTTCTAGGTTCATGTAATAAATTCATACATACCTTCTTGCAGTCATCACAATAGGTTGGAGAGGCTCCAAGCAGGCCAAATTCATCTCCACAAAGTATGCACTGGCTACTACCATTTCCCATTGCATTTTTTCTCATGTTATCCAATTTTTCGACAAGGCGCCTACGGGTCGAAGAAAATGATAAAAACAGGAACCATAAAGAAAAAATTCATATAAAAGAAAAAAAAGTAGATAGGCAAAATAAAAAGAAGGGAACAATTGATAAATGAAAAATGGGAAAGAATCAAGTCAATGACGAAAAAGAAAAATATAAGAAAGTAGGAATAAAAACACAGAAAGGAATGAAAAAAAAATGAAAGAAAGAGAAAAAAGAAAAAATAGTAAGAGAAGATGAGGCAGATAAACAAATATGAAAATACTGGAAGGTAAAAAATGAAAGAATGAGAAACTGAGTTAAAATAAGAAAAAGAAAACAATAAGATCCACAGAGAAAAGTGAATTATAAATGGGGTGAAAGAAAATTTTAATGAAGAAATCAAGAAGGAAAAAATAATGAGAGGAAAAGATGGTAAGATTTGAAAAAAAAAAAATGAAAAAAATGAATTAAATCAGAATTATTATACAATAATATACTTTATAAATGTTCAACTCTTGAGCCATCTTCATATGTCATACATGACTAACTTTATGAAGACACTAGTCCAAATAAATCAATGTACCATAAATAATTTCTCATTTCAGAAGCAGCTGAAATATTGCACATCAGTCTGAGATAATAATTAGCAAGTGAGTATAAGTAGTACATTCAGTCTTCACTGGGAACTCAAGACTTGTGGCCTTGTGTCCAAACTAAGCTATACTAATAGCTTGAGATTTAGCAACCAAAATGAGGATGCTAGTTTGAGTATATCAGTATATAATAACAACAATTCTTTATATAAAATATTCAGATTGAATATAAATTAAAATAAAAAGAAAAAAAACAGGTTAAAATAAAAACAAGGAAAAAGGGATGGCAAAAGGAAAAATAGCAAATCAATTAAAAAATGTACAGAATAACATAAAATGGATAAACATTAAAAAATAAATCCACGAAAAAATATGATGAAAAGAAAAAACAAATAAAAGACTTAAATGGTAAAAATTTCTTTAATGACAAAGAAGTCACAAAAGGCAAAAACAATATCTCAAAAACAAAATGGCTGATATTTTTCTGAATTGCAGTCTGATGTAATTGGCCAATGGGAATAAAGAATTTTAGAAGACTTATCCTCCCTAATAACCATTTCTATGGAAAGTAATACAAGATATAAGATTTTATCAATTGGTCAAACAAAATAGACATATACTAAGTAAAATAAAGAAAAATGAAGTGAAAGAAGCAAACATATCTTACCCTATACGCTCTTGTTCAACATTCTCTATAAATTCTGCTCGTGCAATAACATTCAGTATCTGCTCCTGTTCATCAATGCTCAACTGGTCTGATTTACGAAACTGTGAGTAACGATTGGTATGGATTGACCATCCTGTGCCAAGCCTGAAAAGAGAATAAATATTGACCCTAATAAATAAACCAAAATAAAACAGATAATTTTTTGTTTCCACATGACATGAAATTAATCACATGTAGCAATATTTTTATTTCTATATCATTATATAACACAAGTCATATATCCCTATATAACCTATATGTAAAATGTGAGAGAGTTTGTCAGTCAGACCTTGTTTTCTATGTATCATGTCCCTTCACGATATGGGTGAGCATTGCTCTCCAAAGCCTTCTAAGCAAGGTTTCTTAACTTACTATCTCTCCCAATCCCTGTTCTACCATCCATTTATGCAAGCTTTTTAGGGAGGTTACTCACTGTTTCCCTTTGCCCCTCTTGCCTTTCTTATTCTGGGAATGCCAAATTTCTTTTTTCCTCATTATGTACCCCAAAACTTTCAACTGCCTCTTTCTGATTATGGGCATGTGTCCTATCAGTTTAATTTTCCTTAAAACTTCCTCATTGCTCACGTGTTCAGTCCATGAAATTATTAGCCTCCTTCCACAGAATCACAAGTCTCATCTGTCTACAAATTGTTCAGCATTCACTGCCAATTAGGAGGATTCAGTACTCTTTTCTTTGTTTCCAATAGAATTTCTCTGTTTCTTAATACTCTGTTTAGCTTTGGTAAGGCATCTTTACTATTTCAATGTACAGACATTCATGTCAAATTTTCCATTGTCTGTTCTAACATTTCCTAGATGATTTACTAAAAGAGTTTAGAGTTTTTGAACACTTGGATAAAAATATTGCAGACATATTGGCATTCAGTAGAGACAGTAGAGAGAGGATAGAGAAATTAAGATTAGAAAAGTGAAGTGCAAATGAATAATAAGAAAAATAGCATTGTTTTGATAAACAAATCTGTTTAGCAGAACAAAATGCAAACAAATGCAAATAGTGGTTGGATTTATAAGATAATGAAAGCAAGATCTAAAAAATTGAAAACAAATTATCCAAAGTGTAATGATATAAAATTTTGATGGTAAACTATTAGTGTGCACACACCCATACACACACACACAAACAGACAGACACACACACACACATACACAAATAAAGAGATTCCAGCAACACACATATAGAGGGTGCATTTGTTTTTGATGTTGTTGACTGTACAGTAGAGTCAGTTGGGCACTGTCTGTGAGAAAAATATCACCATGATGCAATTCACTCCATCAGAAATTTGGAAATGACAAGCTGTACTGCATGGCATTCATGCTGGAAGCTCCAATATGTACATTTCAGAATGTTTGGGTGTCAATCTGAGGACAGTGCAAAGGATTCAGAAAGAGTTGGATGATTCTAATGGTAATTATGAATGTGTTTGGAGTGATCACTAGTGATTATGACATTATGTTTTGATTCATCTTCCCACAAGGCCTCAGCCTTAACATGGAGGCCTACATCAAGTGCCTTGAAGAGGTAGAGCTTCCTTCCTTGGATCAAGAGGGCAGTTGCTGGAAGACCCTATATCTGGCAACAGAACTCTGCCCTATGCCACACAAGCAGGAGAACACAGTCATGGTTATCAGACAATTTCTGCAACTACATCACACCTTAGATCTAGCCACCTGAATTTAAGGGCAGTACTAGATTAACTGCCAGGTCTCATCATTTTACAGTTGAATTAACTAAATGTAACTGTAAGTTCTTTGCTAACAATTTCTTTACAAGCACTTATTCCCCGTGGAACTCTCTTCTAGCTTACTGCTATCCAGTCATCTTTGATTTTCAAAAATTTAAATGCAATGTCAATTGTCATACACTGTCCTCTTGAGTCATCTTCTTTTATTGTTGTTGCTCTTTAATAATGTTTTTCTTTTATTCTTTAATACTCAGTAACCCCCTTGTGTCTTAGTGGCTTTATTGCCTTGCTTTGGATTAAATGATTAAATAAATGTTTCAGGTTTATGAGGATAGGTTTAAACCTTAGAGTCTGGGGATAATCTTGAAGAAAAAAAGTAACTCTGCATCAAGCCATTTTGAATAGACTGACAAGATATCTTTCAATGAATTTCTTTTTCTTCTATCTTCATACTGTGATAGTGGATCAAATAGTTAATTAAAACAATTCACAGACAATGATAAAAGCAGGCAATTATTAGATTGTTCACAAGCAGTTGATATCTTTTTTAGGAAGAGCAATGAGAAATCTTTTTGTTCTATGTCTTCTTGCAGTTGTAGTAGATCAGTCAGTGATTCAAAGCAATTTACAGATGGTGATAAAGGCAGTAAAAGTAATTATTATTCTTGGGTTGTTTATGAGAGATTTTGCTAATATGATACCAGACAAAATATCCTGGTCATAAATGAACTGTTTTCAATCTATTTATAAATAAAAATTAATACTGCATTTTGTTTGCATAATAGAAAACCTAAAAATGACAAAACTAAAACAAGTTATCAGTAATATTTTTAATAAGCATAGATACTCAAACAAATAATCTCAGAGCTTTCATATGGCAAGAGAGCACATGTAACTGCATGTCATTGATTCAAGGATCAGCTCCAAAACACCTTGCTGAGGACAGAAATCAATCTGGTAAATTCAGAGACAGAACTACTAAGCATAAAACTTCAAAAACCACTCTTGACATATTCAGTTATTTCCAGAGCCTACTACATTATGTACATAAGTCTTTTGCATTTGTATTATATTTTATTTTTCTTCTTATTGTAAACATACACTGGAACTCATACTCAGTCCTTCCTTGACTGGACAAATCACTTTACACTGTACTTCAATTCTCATATGCATGTGCATGAAATCTGGGAAAGGCTGGTGTACATTCAGAAAGGACTGAAAAATGAAATAACACTATGGGGAGAAAAGAAAACACAAACCTTTTTACAATATATTTACTTATTTATTCACAGATTCACCTGACACAGTCTGGTGTCAGTAAATAACATTTGGGACAACTTTACTGTTTCTTCTGGCTTCTCTCACAATAGAATAATGGAAAAGATGTTCCCTTTGTTTAACAAGAATTCTGCCTATCTCTGACTGTAATTGTCTCTACATTTCTGACTGATGGCTTGTCACCCCCTAATAGCTGGTATCTTTCTGACGGCAGTTTGGTTACTCTCTATAGGTGGCTGGCAACAGTACTACTCTGTCGCCCTGCCTATATAACACTACAACTGAAATTCTCTAACTTCCAGTTAAGTGGCAATTGATCCTTAGAGTCCTCATTTATTTATTTGCTTCCCTTCCCATCTGGACTTTCTGGATAGACTCCCTTTTAAACTTTCCTTTCCCTTCTGGACTTTCTGTACAGATGCCTTTCAGGACTTTCTGGATAGACTCCCTTCTGGACTTTCCCTTCCTTTCAGGACTTTCTGCATAGATTCCATTCTGGACGTTCCCTTCCATTCTGGACTTTCTGTGTAGACTCCCTTCTGGACTTTTACTTCTCTTCTGGACGTTCTGGATAGATTCCCTTCTGGACTTACTGGATGGACTCATTGAAGATCTTACTTTTAGATTTTACTGTTTATACAATCATAAAAACTGATTCAGATAAAATCATTTACAGTCCACTTTGTGAGTGTTCTTAACCACATCAATATGTTACTACTACACAAAGGCATTTGATAAAGTACACCACAAAGATCTGTTGTAGCTGCTCAGCAACCTTGACATATTCAAGAAAGACATTAGAAAAATCTCTATTGGCAACAAACTGCTTGCATGAATATAAAAAATGAATTCAGTAAATATACAAAAATAGAAAGGGGCATAAGGCAAGGATGTGTCTTCTCACCGGACCTATTCAACCTAAACATTGAGGCAATACTGAGAGAACTGGAAACCCTACCAGGATTCATCATTGATGGCCACAATCTTAACAACATAGACATGCAGATGACACTGTGCTGATAGCAGACACGGAAAGGAAACTACAAAACATCCTATAGAAGGTAGAGCAAGAAGAAGGGACTAAGCATAGACTACAAAAAGAAAGAATGCATCGTCATCAGTAAAAAGATGTTCCTGAAATATGATTTACAGGTTGGTGAAACTAGAATCAAGCAGGTGCAGAAACTTAAACATCTGGGAGGTGTTCTGACAGAAGACGGTAAGTGTGACACTGAGATCTGAATACATATTGGGATGGCTAGATGCTGAAGATACCATGGACTGAACATGTGAGCAATAATGAAATTTTGGAGAGGATGCAAACAAAAAGGAAACCCATAAGAGACAGCTGAAATTTCTGGGACATGTAATCAGAAAAGAGGGCTTGGAAAATCTGATACTCACAAGGTGGATAGAGAGAAAGAGGAACAAGCAAAAGCAGCATATGATATACATAAAGGGGTTAAGAAGGTTGATGGTAGAACAAGGTCTGGGAGAAATAACAAAGAGTTAAAACTTATTGAGAGTTACAACAGACAGGAGGAAATGGGGAGCCATGATTGCCTACATCCTGAAGGGATACAGCACATAAAAGAAGAAGAATATTTGATTATTTAGCCACAACTGGGCTGGAGCTGCACAATTTTTGCTTTTCAGCATTCAGAGTTCCAAAGCATCTAAATGGCCTTGTGTGTAATGAATTATTTTTTTATCCTATAGCCTTTTTCCCATAGACGAAACATTGCAAACCACTTGCTACTCTATTGCTATTTTCATGGAAAATATTCTGATAAACTTCTTTCCTTAGTTCTGTCAATTTAGACCTTTACAGCTAAAACCTGCCATGCTATATAAAGAGTCCTTATTATTCCATTGATAAAGAGGAAGTTCCATTTGGACAGCTTCTTCCCAACTGCTGCTATTTTATCCTCATAATTTGCATGTATTCTCTAACAACCTTATTTAATAACCATCTACCATGAATGAATCTTGAGCCCTCTATTGCATGAATATTTAGTAAAAAAAAAAATTAATTATTTTTATATCTCATATCATATTTATTCTCAAATCTATATTGACCTCTTCCTGTATGAGAGAGTTATACCAAGTATTGCTTTTTCCATTGATCTTTCTTCATTTTGAATTTTTAATGTTCTGTTTTGCACCTGCATATCATTATCTATTCATTATGCTTTAAATTTTAGGTATACTGGCAAGGTACTTTTCATTATGACTCTTTCATAATTAAATGATTTCAATCAAACATTACATGCTGTTTTGTAGAAATTCACAAGGTATGAGGGGTGCTAAAATTATCTTAGACTAATCCACTGCTCAAATGACTAAATAGGCTATGAATTGTTCAGCACCTTTTCATAAGCTTAATGATAAATAGAAATAAAAGAAATGTTCAGTTGAAACATTGCCAAAAATTTCATTAATATAGAGGATGAAGAACTGAAAGAAGTCCAGGAATACATCTACTTAAGGCAGATAATAAAATTAATGAATATATATATATATATATATATATATATATATATATATATAGTGTATGCAACACTTTTCAAAGAGAGCACAGTGACTACTTTGATCTGAGGTAAAAGTGCCAGGGAGCAAACAATTTCCCATCATCTAACCAAATTCTCAAAAACTTTATTGCTTTTGAAGATGTATTTGGTTAAGCTGAGAACTTTTCAAAATCTTTTTTTCACATGCACACACATATATATAATATAAAAGTGAACATAGAAGTCAACACTTAGAGGTGACAGTCTGTTTCATGCTAGATGCAATCGTCAGGTCACCTGTTGACTTCTATGTTCACTTTTATATTTACACACGCTCTATCTCTAATATTGAGCACTTTATCCCATAAATATAGCACATCTTAAGACTATATATATATATATATATATTGAAATTAATTGATAAACATTTTCACAGTAAACATCCGCTACGTAAAATTTTCAATAGGAAGACTCTGAAAATTAGTTACACATGTGTTAGAAATATGGAGAAAATCATATCTTCCCATAATTGCAGAATACTTAGAAACTACCACAGTAATGGAACTCAATCTAGTAACCCTACCTGCAATTGTAGGAATAAAGACCATTGTCCAATCGGGGGTAAATGTAAGTATGAAAATGTAATATACGAGGCAACAATCTTTCCCGAGGAAAAAAATAAACGAGAAAAAAGATACATAGGTATATCCGCCGGTGATTGGAAGCAATGTCTATACAACCATAAACGCTCATTTAGATATAGATGCCTCAGAAGTCAAACTTCCTTATCCAAACACTACTGGGATCTGGTGGATAAGGGATTAACCCCAATTTTGAAATGGAGATACCTATCAAGAGCCAGAACACCTAATAACTTCCGCCCCTTAAACCCCTTCCACTCACCTCTCCTAAGGTTTAATCTCCCTCCTTCTCTAGACTCTCTCTAAATTCTGTTTTTATTTCCGGAGTTGTTTTTTCTGTTTTCTTTTTGAATTTGTAGGTCTGATGAATTGGATCGTATTTACGATTCCAATGGAATAAATTATGACCATGGAATATTAGTATTTAAGCCTTTTTATTATATCTTTACTCTGTCCTGGACATTGAGTTCTACCTGGATTCTATCCTCTCGGAATTTTTTATTCAAAAAATATACATATATGTGTATGCACCTATGTATATATATCTATATATTTTGCATATGTATTATATATATATATATATATATATATATATTATAAAGATGTTATATACGGACAAAGAAGTTTGATGGTAGAACAATGTTTGGGAGAAATAACAAAGAGTCACAGAAGGGCATTTTGTTCTCTCTATCAGAATATTGAATATGCATTTTTGTTTCAATGTGAACACATCTTAACAGGTGAGAAACAAAGACAGTTAAAATGATTCTATTTAAAAATGATACTTATGAAACATCACTTTTTTTTCATTATTCAAATTTTTTTAAAAGGACATAAGGAGAAACACTATAAAAGGAAAAGAAATATATAAAGGCTTTCCATAAAAGAAAAAGAAAAAATAAAATAAAGAAGAAAAAGATGAAGAAAACAGGTAAAAGCAAAGAGGATAAGAAAACAATAAAAGGGAAAATTAAGAAAGAGAAAAATTAAAAGACAACACATCATAACTCCAAAGAAAAATAGTGAATTTTATAGAATGTTTTTTTTCAAAACTTAGCATGAACAAAACAAATTCATGGATTAGGAGAGAAAAAAAAGGCTATTTCCTATAACAAAAATTTTTAGACATCAGAAAAAATAAGTCATCACTTACTTGGCTCGTAATGCCAACTGGCGATCGTTTGGACACACCCAACGATCCATATTTCCTTGACTACTAAAGTCTCCCATTATGCTGAAAAGAGCAAAGAAAATAAAAATTATTAAAATTTAAAAACAATAAAGTAACAAAAAAAAACAATCTACAAATATTCATTAATTTCTATATTTAAGCAACTCTCAACCTTAAAAACCTCAAAAGAGAATTATAAAATGAATAGTGACCCCTTTCAGCCTTCTATCAACATAGCTGATATTAAATTCCAGGGAAGTGACTTGTTGTGCCTTTTTGGACTAATGGTCTCTGCTGATATGAAGTAGAAAGATTATATTGAATCAATTTTTAACTCGACTGCTAAGAATATAGTTTCTCTGTGTTGTGCTAGTGAAGTTTTCTCCTCAGAATCTATCTTACATATTTATAAATCTACCATTCAATCATGCTTTCAATATTGCTGCCACATATGGTCTGGTGCTTCTGCTATATATTTAGAGATTCTTGATAAAATCCAAAGAATAATCTGCAATGTTATTGGTCCTTACCTGGCATCCCAGGTTCAGTTACTCTCCACCACTATAATGAAGCTTCCCTGCGCTTTTTCTATAAATACTTTCATGGTAATAGTTCTGATGAACTTTTCCCTTTGGTACCATAACTTCATGAATTTAAGTGCAGTACTAGACTGGCTTCAAGGTCTCATCATTTTACAATTGAATTGGCTAGATGTAATTGTAAGTGCTTTGCTAACAATTTATTTTGATGCACATTGCCTTTGCTTTACAGCCAACTTTGATCTTCAAAAATTTAAATGAAATATCAAGTGTCATCTCTTGAGTCATCTTTTATTGTTCTTGTTCCTTAATAATGTTTTTTTTTATTCTTTCTTACTCAGTAACCCTCTTGTGTCTTAGTGGCTTTTTTGCCTTGCTTTGGGTTAAATGATTAAATAAATGTTTCAGGTTTATGAGGATAGGTTTAAAACTTTAGAGTCTGGGGATAATCTTGAAGAAAAAAAAGTGACTCTGCATCAAACCATTTTGGAGTGACTGACAAAATATCTTTCAATGAATTTCTTTTTCTTCTATCTTCATACTGTGATAGTGGATCAAATAGTTAATTAAAACAATTCATAGACAATGATAAAAGCAGGCAATTATTATGATTGTTCACAAGCAGTTGATATCTTTTTTAGGAAGAGCAATGAGAAATCTTTTTGTTCTATGTCTTCTTGCAGTTGTAGTAGATCAGTCAGTGATTTAAAACAATTTACAGATGGTGATAAAGGCAGTAAAAGTAATTATTATTCTTGGGTTGTTTATGAGAGATTTTGCTAATATGATACCAGACAAAATATCCTGGTCATAAATAAACTGTTTTCGATCTATTTATAAATAAAAATTAATGCTGCATTTTGTTTGCATAATAGAAAACCTAAAAATGACAAAACTAAAACAAGTTATCAGTAATATTTTTAATAAGCATAGATACCCAAACAAATAATCTCAGAGCTTTCATATGGCAAGAGAGCACATGTAACTGCATGTCATTGATTCAAGGATCAGCTCCAAAACACCTTGTTGAGGACAGAAATTGATTAATTAGGAGACAGAAGCTGCAGAAAGAACCAATTGGAGAAGAGCAGTCCATGAAAAAACAACATCAAAATAGAAGAGATGAAGACAGATCAAAAGAAAAGCCAGAACTCTAAATTACCTCAACCCTCCTCCTCTACTATGTGATGGCTGCAGATACAATGTAAGATTCACTTCATGCAGAAGGAAATGTCTATGAGCACCCCAATACTCAGCAAAAAATTCTGACAATGACGATGATGAGATATTCCAAACTGAAACTCACACAATATTTTGCATATATAAATGTAAGTCTATCATGAAAATTTTCTCAACATTGGTTGTTTAATACTAATTAACCAACCAATGTTGAGAAAATTTTATATTAATTTTGTGAAAACATTGACTTGTATAATAAAACTTGACATGGAAAATAGAAAATATGTTTTTCAACCAATAAAATTCCATCAGAAGGCTTGTTAGATAAACAATAATTACAAGGGCAAGTACCATCAAAATACTTGTGCACATAGTTGTAGAGCTACCATGTGTTATTTTTGGACCATTTAGAAAATAGCAATAATAACTACCTTCACCACTTCTGCAAATTCAAGAAAAAGTTTTCCATGAGCCAGTGTGAAATTATTTTCTAACCAATGAAAACCTTGTATTCTAAAAGTTCACACCTCTATGTGAAATTAGATTTTGAATCCACTTTTGGTTATAAAAATAAAAGCATATTTCTTCTAGGGGCTCACAACAGTTTTGGAGGCCAGTTTGATCTACACATGCATATCCACACACATGCGCACAATGGAAGAGAGATAGACAGCAGCTGCCAACTAAGGCCTTGTCCATGCACACAATAGAAGGGAATAACCAACAACTGCCTACTAAGCCTACAAACTTTCAAACACATTAGGCTGATTGTCATAAAGTAAGTCTGTTCACACATTTCATATCATACTAAAAACACTTAATTACTTTGTAAAACAAACTTCACTGCAAGGGAAATTTTATTGTCAATATATATTTCTGAAAAAAAAATGTATAAATGTTATTTCAACTGACATTTTGCTTTTCCTTCAGAGAATAACCTTTTTCATATTTCATTTATAACCTTTTATAACCTTTTTCATATTTCATTTATAACCTTTTATAACCTTTTTCATATTTCATTTATAACCTTTTTCATATTTCATTTATAACCTTTTTCATATTTCTTTTATAACCTTTTTCATATTTCATTTATAACCTTTTTCATATTTCATTTATAACCTTTTATAACCTTTTTTCATATTTCATTTATAACCTTTTATAACCTTTTTCATATTTCATTTATAACCTTTTATAACCTTTTTTTCATATTTCATTTATAACCTTTTTTATAACCTTTTTCATATTTCATTTATTTATATTTCCTTTTATAACCTTTTTCATATTTATAACCTTTTATAACCTTTTTTTCATATTTCATTTATAACCTTTTATAACCTTTTTCATATTTCATTTATAACCTTTTATAACCTTTTTCATATTTCATTTATAACCTTTTATAACCTTTTTCATATTTCATTTATAACCTTTTATAACCTTTTTCATATTTCATTTATAACCTTTTATAACCTTTTTCATATTTCATTTATAACCTTTTATAACCTTTTTCATATTTCATTTATAACCTTTTTAACCTTTTTTCATATTTCATTTATAACCTTTTTACCTTTTTATATTTCATTTATAACCTTTTTATAACCTTTTTCATATTTCATTTATAACCTTTTATAACCTTTTTCATATTTCATTTATAACCTTTTATAACCTTTTTCATATTTCATTTATAACCTTTTATAACCTTTTTCATATTTCATTTATAACCTTTTATAACCTTTCTCATATTTCATTTAAAAGATGTTAAATTTTTTGATCCCGACACTGACAGCAACAAAGAACCTGGGTAGACGGATCCCAACAGTATCTGTGAAAAAGTAAGCTGTGTCAAGCATAAAAAAATGTTTATTTGAAACTTGCATTCAACAATTGGGATCAGAAATGTTTTCTAGAATAAAATCTAAATCTCAACCCAAATTATGAGTTCCAGATATTTGAAGTAGAAAGATTGATCAGAATGTTCTATAATCATTTTTATAATGTGGTACTGAGAATTTTTCAGTCCAGCCAATATGACCAAATATTATTTATTATATTATTATCAGTCATATTAGCCATTTCCATGTAAGGAAACATTTAGCATTCATTGACTGAGCAGCCAGTACTGCTTTCAGCTGAAATTTATAAAATCTTTCTCTTAAAACAATTTTTCAGGAAATTAGGTTCCAGTAGAAGTTATCACTCATTCCATTATTGATGGGGGGTGTTCTTATTTGAAATAGTGTGGGTTTATGCATCATACTCTTCCCACCAGTATCTTGACCAGCTTCTGAACATAACAGGACCACACATTGATTGCAACTCTACGAAAATACATACCCAATGCAGCAGTTAATTTGAACAGATGTGCTCTGCAGTAACAGCCAAACCAATCAAATCACGTGTGCTCACATCTCACCTTCACTCAATTTGGCCACCAAAACTTTCATTCATTAGTGACATGCAGCAGTTGTAAGTTTCTGTATTATCCTAATTCTCCAATTGATGTTCTGCCTTGTAGGTGAGAAAAAAAAAGGAGTTGGTATATATATATATATATATATATATATGGAGGCATGGTAGAGGAATGGATAGCAGCTCAGATTAAGAAATTGGACAGTTGAGTTCATTACATTCACTTTCATGCTAATAATGGGTAAATAGCAGGACAGGTCCTATAGCCTTAGTTAGTGACTAGTCTAGGAAAAGGAAAAACTTGGAATTCAAACCAGCCTGGAGAGGGTTGTACTCTATCATGCTATCTTGCCCACTGTTACTATGGCTGCAGTACATGTGGTGTCCTTGCGATATTAATGAGTTACAGGAGTTGTGATCATGATATATATATTTAATAAATATATATATATATATGTTATTTAATTATAAAGATTGATTAAATATTCTATTATCTTTTACAGATAAGTAAATGCTAAGTCCAATTATGTTTTGTAAAAATTATTTACAACTGAATAAATGTTTAGTCCTATTATCTTTTTTTGAAGGGTTGCTGAGAATTTCCTAGCCAAAGCAAATTTCCAAAATTTGACTGAATGACCAAAACATACACATATTTTTTTTTTTTTTTTTTTTTTTCAGGGTTTCTTGGTTAGGCTGAGAACTGTTCAGTAGCCCCTTGTATATTAATAGGAGTTCAGATATATTGAAGAAAACAACTGATTTAAATTCTGCTTTCTCAGAAGAAATAAGAAAAATTAAAATGCATATCAGTTTGTCCCTTGAGTTTTTGGAACTGATTTGACATTCATGTACTTGAAGAAATGTCTAAATGGGAGCCTGCACCTGAGTAACAATTGGAATTAAAT